GGGACGCAGAGCAGAAGTTTTATGCGTTTAACTTCAAGAAGAAAGCGTTTAATACTTAGTTTAAACAAAGAGTGTGTGGGGTCAGGGAAAGGCAGGGAGAAGCCTGAGAAATCGGGGGCTTGTGTGGCTGAAAGAAGAGGGGAGATTTTCTTCTCCTGGATGTGCGTAAGGCTGAGCGATGTCTGTAACCCGCTTGAGTAGCGACGTGTTGCCACCACCTGGCCCTAACGGTAGTCCTTTTCCACATTTTTTTTTTTTTTTTGCAGGGGTCAGGGAAAGGCAGGGAGAAGCCTGAGAAATCGGGGGCTTGTGTGGCTGAAAGAAGAGGGGAGATTTTCTTCTCCTGGATGTGCGTAAGGCTGAGCGATGTCTGTAACCCGCTTGAGTAGCGACGTGTTGCCACCACCTGGCCCTAACGGTAGTCCTTTTCCACATTTTTTTTTTTTTTTTGCAAAAAGTCTAATTGGCCTCATCATTATTCCAGCAAGCATCAAGTTTAAGTTGATGCCATGAAACTGAATTAACCTCTTGATTACAATAATCTAGCTTGTGATGAGAGAAAGGATAAAGAGAAACTTTTCAGTAAGCTGAAAAACTTTTGAATAAGCCCTAAGTTTTCTGACACCTAGAAATTTGATTTCAAAGATAATGCATGAGGTGGATAGACAAATCAGCCCCACTTGAAATATTTTTGAAGGGTTGGGTCACTTCAGCTGATGCTGTAATTTCAGGGTAGCTGATTACTTGAGATTTTGAAAACTTTAGGTGGCTTAGGCTTTGGATGCTGATTCAGCAGCAGTGCCGCAAGTATGGTTCCTGTTTGTTCTTGTAACTTTCTCATTCTCTTACTGGATGTCCAGTTTGAGCACTCATGACTCACAGCTGCAATTTAAATGTGCATCTTGCATCGAAAAATTGGATGCCGCCTACTGCAAATTACTAGATTTCAAAATACCAAATAACTTTGACTAAATCAAAGTTTGGAATATTTGAGGAAGGGTAATGCCACACCAGTTGAATCGTAAAGTAAAGCTTATTAATGTTTCAAAGTGCATTGATAGAGAGGGATGAGTAACACTGAACTGCTGGTCATAGTAGTGCTTACTAGCCAGGCAAAGCATGGCATATAGCTACAACCATTCATTCAGGAGAGCAGAAGATAAGAGGGGCTAGAGTTTGCAATGCCCATGGTGCTTATGTTGTGGTTTTATTTAGTTCTTGTAAACACCTTTGTAAAACACACTTTTGAAGCCTTACGCAGAGTATGGAACACAGCTTTCCTAGCATCAGTAACATGAAATGAAATTGCATGTGGTCTGTTCGTCTGAACAAAATACTGTTTGTTGGGGGAGTATTGTGTCTTTCTCTACACTGAATGAATCCATAACTCCTAGGTTGTGAGAAAATGCTTTAGGACCAAAAGGATGCATCTGAAGCCTGGGTGTGCAAAGCACAGCATGACTGTAGCTGCTCTATAAGCTTAATGTTCTTTGCAGTTCTTCTGTATATGCAGTGCATGCTTAAGATCCTGCTTTGGTGCAGACAACTCTGAAACAAGTTTGTAGTCATTCCTGTTATAGTTAAATCTACAAAATCTTTTTTTCTGAGAAAATGAATAGTGTGACTGTTCTGTCAAGGTCTGGTTTACTTTCTTACAGCTAACTTGCAGGTAACCCTGTTACCTGTGCTCTAAGGCTGTTTGTAAGCTTACTCACATCTCAACTGTTTAAAGCTTTTGACCAGGAAGATGGTGGAGTTTCTTCTGTGGGATGATCAGTTTACAGTAAATTGTACCTTTAAATAATTTATTTTCTTGCTAACATCTGAAAGGAATTTGATAAGGTTCTGAAATGAATTATTTTGGCATTCTCATTGAGTGTCTGGTAGTAGCACCACTGATCATGCAGCTTCATGTCATGAGGGCTACTTAAAGTAGCCTAGGTTAGGTCTACGTTTAAATTTTTAAAGCTGCTTAGTATGCTTACTTCAGTTTTTTTCCCAGTGAACGGTATATTTGTGGCAAGTATTTCCTTTAGGTAATTGGAAAGGTGCTGTTGAAAGTCATTGTCCCATGCTATATCTGTAGGAAGATGCAGGCATTCTAGTGTCTTAGTGTACTGTAATAATTTGACTGAAATACATATTTCTGTTTAAATTTTTCAGTCTGCTAACGTGGAAGTCCAGTGTGCAGGTGTCTCAGAGGATAATACCCGTTTATCCACAACCTGTCAAGGATACGTTTTACCAGAAGGAAAAATCATGCCAAACACAGTCTTCGTTGGTGGAATTGATACAAGGGTATTTATATACTTCTAATTGTTTTAAGATGGTGTAGGGTGCTCCAGTGGGAAGGAGATGAGACTTGAACTGCTGGGTTTGTTTTCTTTTAAGTGTGTGTCTTTACCAGTCTTAAGGTATTGCAGTGTCATGAGAGAATTTTGGACTGGGTGAGTAACTTTAGTTCATACAGTAGCGGAAGGTGGATTTAAAGAATGGTACTGGCTGCTTTAAATCAGTTCTAAACAGTTGAAAATGTTTGAAAAGTTGAAGACTTCGTTTCTTCTAGATGAATGAAGCAGAAATTCGGAGTTTCTTTGAACGATATGGTGCTGTGAAAGAGGTGAAAATAATAACTGACAGAACTGGTGTTTCCAAAGGGTGAGTAGAACACAAACAGTTGTTTTAAGTTGCTGCTTACCTTACGTGGATATAATTGTTATAGATAATGCGAGCAGCTACTTAGCAACACACTTGACATGCTTAAGCCTTGACATGCTTAAGCCTTAACACTAGCTGCAGTTTTCTGTTGTGGTGAATTAACACTGTGAAACGTGTAGATCTAGATCGCCCCTAAATCTATACAAGCTTATAAAGAATAGCCTGATTTTTCTGACTTCAGTCTATCTGTTCAAGG